TAATCATTTTTATCACTGATGTAATCCATGCATTCACAAAAGTAATCCATTGCTTTGAGGATTATCCATAGATTGCTTTACCAGGATACCAAAATAATAATAATAATAAAAACATTCTCCACTTCCCTTTAGCAGGCAGTTCTGATATTGCGCCTTGAAACACAGAAATAGAAAATATGCAACAAAATAATAAATTTCTGTCATTAATAACAAAATAGCATAATACTTGAAAAAGAAGGCTTAAAATTCTCTTTAAAAGTAACTATTGAAAGTCACTAGAAAATGTTACTGATTACACAGAAAGACATCTCTGTATCCTATATTACTTCTGTGATGTGGCTTAATTGTACACTCATTGCCCTGAAAAGTAAATAGTTACATGCAATTACATCACTACAGCCTAGTTAATTCCAAACTCTGGGTTGTGTGTGCCTGAGGAAATGTTCACATTTCAGGTATTTGTGGAGAACAGATGGCCTGTTTTCACCTTTAGCTACCTTTATGTAGTTTGCTGTTCACAACCCATTTACTCATTAGATACTGCTAAAATAAATGGTATACAGGTGAGTAAAGCTTCTGGCCAAAATAATCTCTGGGGACGGCTGTGTTACAGCGCATTGTTTGTTATACTAAGCACATTCTGTTAATTCTTAAGAACATTTTAAAAGGGAGTTCTAGATAAACAGTTTCTCCTAACACTTTTCACTGTTTGCATATATGACTATGATAAAAGGGTTGTAAGTGGGCCATATACCTCCCCCTTCTCACTTACTACAATCATTATTCACCCTCTTTGTCATGTACTTCTTGAGCACAAATATTGTAACTACACTCTGTTTTTAATTCCATTTTGTATAGGATGCTAAAAAGATAACAGAAGTATAACTGAATCTTTCTTTCCATAAATAGGCTTTTTCAAAGTTTAAAAAGCCAGTGATCAATATATCTAATTTATTTGCAGTCTGCCCAATTTTCACATTTCCTTAAGAGTGAACTGTTTGTCATGAATGCTGAATGTGGTTTGTTTGATGTTTTTAAACAGCTTGGAAAGGTTAATTCAGCTGAGCAGGTTTTTGTTTTACAATCGTAGGCTTGGCAGTAAGGTCATCTTGTTACCTCCTTTTCACAGTGTCCCCTATTCAAAAAATGTATCAGAAAGGCATTTGAAATCTGAGCTGGTCGAACATCTTAGCTTCCTTAGGGTGCAATTATACAAATGAAGTATCTCAGGTGATGGATTGGGGTTTTGAATTTAGTTGAAAGTCACACGGTTTTTGTGTTGGCCTGTGACTTGTGTGTCCTCTTCGGAAAACTTTTAATTTGGTTTTAATCTGTGTTGTGTCTCAGTTGTGTGTGTGTGTGTGGGGGGGCTGCACAGGATTTTAGAATTGTTGCATTTGAGGTTTTGTCCTGCACCTGGCCACCCTTATTATGCTGGATTCCCCTCACAGCCGCTGTCTCCTTGTGCTGTGGCATAATTTTGGAAAACATTTTTGTTGCTATTTCATCACTTCTTGCGATTTGGAATAGTGCTAGAACAGAATGACAGAAAGGAACAAATAAATAAAACAAAGGTTTTTCTGTAGCCAGACAAATACTGTAGACAGAGACACACTCCAAGTAATGAAAGAATCACTTCAAGGAAAACAATGTAACTGTTATATTTGTAGAGTAACTGTAACATGTTCTTTCTGTAATATTTGAGTTACATTTGTCTAGAGCAGGCTCGTCCAACCTGCGGCCCAAGGGCCGCTTGCGGCCCAGGTTGGCTCATAATGTGGCCCAGTGCAATTTTTTATTTTAAAAGAAATTCCAAAGTTTCAAGTTACACTGCCGGCGCTTGCGGCTGGAATGCGGCTGGGGCACGTCACAATGGTGGGGGGGAGAGGGAAGGAAGGAAAGGAGTGGGAGGGGAGGGGAGAGGGGGGCTGTGTGACTGCATTGTGCCATCCCCGTCAATAGGTGGACCCCCTCCCGGCCCCATAAAGCCACAGGAGTCGAAGCTGGCAGCCTCTGCTGTCTGAGATCGAAGCTGCCAGTAAGCGCGCTTGGAGCGGGGCTGCAGAGGATGGCTAGGGCTGCCCCCCCAATGCGGCCCAAACCAAATTCATGTGCGGCCCAAATCAAATTTTCATCTTCTAATGTGGCCCAGGGAAGGTGAAAGGTTGGATACCCCTGGTTTAGAGATGAGGCTTTGCTAAACGGTAGGACATACTGTACTACATAGTTCAAGTGCTGGTTTTCTGCTACAACCTCATGATCTGTTATGTGATTTGAAGCAATAATAAAACAGAAGGCATTTTGAACCAAGGGACAGTGCCATGGGGCATTCAGTGTTTTGGTTTTTTTAAATATATCTAAAATTGACTATTCAGTCATTATTAAGGAACAGGAAAGTAGAAACATACTTATTGAGGAGCCTTGTGAAACAGTGGCTAAACTGCAGTACTGCAGTCCAAACTCTGCTCATGACCTGCATTCGATCCCAATGGATTAAGGTAGCTGGCTGAAGACTGACTCAGCTTTCCATCCTTCTGAGGTCGGTAAATTGAGTACCCAGCTGGTTGTGGGCAGGGTCAATGTGTAGCCCGCATAATTACATTGCAACCACCACCACGTGAGTGCTGGGTTGTATATAAGCAGCACACCTTTTGCTTAGCTTAGATTTCTGTCTGTAAGAAAATACTAAGAAGTAGACCAGGTGTGTCCTGAAAATACTAAGAGGATCAGGTGTGCTCCAGGGCATGCTTTCAGGGTTGTTGTTATTTTTATGAAGACAGCCTGGAATTCCCTCTGGCTGACATTAGAACAATTCATTAGCACTGTTCCAGTTTGCAATCTAAATTAATATTTATGCCAGAAGAAAGACTAATCAAAACATGTTTGAGAGAATGAATTCAATCCAGCATGGCTAAATCAAACGCCTACAAGAAGCATCAGAGGCTAGTGCAAGAAGATACATTCATATGGTTTTTAATACAAATATTTTCATTACTCCGAGACGTCTGTTGCCAAGCAGAAATTCATAGGCAGAAGGAAAAATGTGTGAAGGTATACTGTGGTTTGTCATTCTGCTCATCAGTCATCAAGGGCACTTGTGTGTACAGTTACTATTGTAGCGTAGGCTAGAGTAGGAGTGCCAAATCTATAGATTCCCAAATATTGTGGAACTATATCTTAGATCATTCTTGCCCATTCGCTATGCTGGCTGCGATCATGGGTTAAATAAACCAGCAACAACCAGAAAGCCACAAATTTCCCTACAATATTCACAAATCTACAGAATGGTAAGTATTTCTGAATATGGTTAGGAACCTCACCAAATACATCATTCCCTAACTGTTGTAGAGACATAGGGCTGCTCCCAACTTTTACTTGGCACAACTAGACTTCAAGAGCTTAGAGGACTAAAACTCCAGATCTGCAACTACGTCGAGGACCAAAGCAACTTGAACACTTTTGCTGTGGACCAGCCATGATTTGATTTGAAGGCATTTTGGAATGGAGAAGGAACACTCTTTCTTTCTTTCTTTCTTTCTTTCTTTCTTTCTTTCTTTCTTTCTTTCTTTCTTTCTTTCTTTCTTTCTTTCTTTCTTTCTTTCTTTCGTTCGTTCGTTCGTTCGTTCGTTCGTTCGTTCTTTCTTTCTTTCTTTCTTTCTTTCTTTCTTTCTTTCTTTCTTTCTTTCTTTCTTTCTTTCTTTCTTTCTTTCTTTCTTAGAAGCACAATTTAAAATTATGAAAGTATATGAAATACAGGTAAAAATTAGAAACAAATTTAGATGTTAGAAACTATTATCATTTATGATCCTAAAAGGACTGTGAGGTCATTTAGCTCATCTGGAAGTTTGTTTCTGGAAGTGACAGATTAGAACATTTGCTCAGGGGATGCTCAAGTGTATTTTTAATGCTTTCCACTCCTCAAGGAGGCTCTTTCTATGTTTAATTAATCAAACAAAACAAAACATCCCAAAGGAACATGAGCTTATAACCAACTTCAGGGCTGCCCCACTGTTGTAGAGATGTAGGACTACTTATAAGTTTTTACTTGGCACAACTCTCCTTCTGTATAAGAGATGGCAGGACAAAATCAAGGTTATGAAAGCCCCCTTTGGCTTCTTAGCACAGCATCTTTATGACCTGAAGTGCTCAAAATACCAACCTCCAGATGTTGCTGGACTGCAAGTTTTCTGTTACTCTACTTGTGAGAGCTGATGGATGTCACAGCCCAACATCTGAGATGCCATATATTCCAAACTCTGTTATAGTTAGACTGGACTGGCACCACCGCACTCCAGTCAACAGTGCTAAAAGACATTTATTTATTTGTTTGTTTGTTTGTTTGTTTCTTTCTTTCTTTCTTTCTTTCTTTCTTTCTTTCTTTCTTTCTTTCTTTCTTTATTTATTTATTTATTTTATTTTATTTTATTT